CGTAGTAGTTTTGAAGTTATAGTCGGATTTAAATTCTCGATATTTTTGACTTTATCAGAAATTTTCTCGATAACTATTCATCGTAGAGCACTGAAATTTTTAATATATGATAGAAAATTCAATTTTCTATCCAACGGTACCGAATATAAGAGGTTATCTCTAATAAGTCCGGAGTTATTGCCATTAGACCGCTCCGGGTGCCAAAAATCGACCAAAATCTCGCCAAAAATCAAAAACAATTTCAACTTTAAAATTGATCCATTTAACGTTTTTTACATTTTTAGAGGTCCTAAAGACTCAAAAAAGTGCATAAAATGCCATTGGGTCAAGTTTAAAAAATTTTGAATTTTTTGAGTTTTTGAAGGTGAGCGGTAGTAATATCGTAAAAACAGTCAATTTACTAAAACTCGCAAAAACACTTGAAATAGACGAAAAAATTACGATGCAACAAGTTAAAATACTCCACGATGTATAGTTTTCGAGATATTCAGTAATAAAGTTAAGAATAAAGCTAGAAGCATAAGCACGGTAGTTTAGTTTTGCAAATTTGTTGCTTCTAATTCAAGTTTTTCATTCATTACAGTGAGATTACGTAAATAAAAAATTGAAGTTTCAGTTATGGCAACACAAAAATAATACTCCTATTTGATTAGATCATTATCTCGTTTATAAAACACTCCACTTTTATTCATTATTGTTACACAAATTAACACATCAGTTTGCAATTATCGTAAAACTCAATTGACGTAAACGAACACAATAAGCTATTATAAACAGTGACCGTTGACCAATTATTACCAAAGACTTACCAAAACTGAGGTTGCACAATTCGCAAGTGGCCCATAGACGACATAAGTGTGCCCAGTGATCCACCCAATATCAGCAGTACACCAATACACATCATTTGGCTTATAATCAAAGACATATTTAAACGTTGTGGCAGCGTAGAGCAAATACCCTGCAGTTGTATGAACCACACCTTTGGGTTTTCCGGTTGAACCACTCGTGTACAACATGAATAAGGGGTCTTCCGCTTGAACCCATTCTGGTACACAGTCTGTTGAAGCTTGAGGAACTATGTCGTGCCACCAAATATCACGGCCTTCTTGCATTGGCGTCTATGAAAAAATTGAATTTTTTTTTTTCACTGGACGTCAAAATTAACCGGACAACTAAAATTTTGGTATTCTTTGTCGGATTTCGACGAATTTTTGTTTGGCTTAAAGAAAAAACTTTGTAGATCATTGTAATTTAATTTAATAACATTTCTAGTTTTGTTTTCTAAATGTGATACTCAAAAGACGAAGGCACTGTTTTTTTACTTATTTTTATACTGAGCTGTGGTGTGCGACGGAGACAAACTTATGTTTTTTTATTATTCTTTTCTGAATTATGTACCACATTTTCCATAATTTTAATTCTTGAAGTTTTAAAAGCAATGAAATAAAAAAAATTCTGTATTTACATAACGGTGAGCAAAACGCAAATAAAAATATAGACCGATAGAGCATTAAATTCTCAATATTCTCATATTTTTGAAAATACTGCGAATATGGTTTAAGGTAAAAAATATGACTTGATTTGATGTTTTCTGGTTTGTTTTAGCAAAATCTGGCAATTAACACCATTTTCGGCCATATTTTGTATTTTTTTTTCGTATTTTTTTTTTGATAAAATTTCATTCAAATGAGCTAAATCGAATTAAACAAACGAAATAACATCAATTTAGATTTTTTTGTTGTGTTTAGGCATATTTTGACAATATTCTGCAAAATAAATGAGTCTCTAGTTCAAAAACGAACTAAAATCGGGCGAAACACGCTAAAATGATATCAATTTCAAGCTAATTTGGTAAATTTTCAGTCAGTTTAAGCAAAAATTTGAGTAATGAAACACTACAAAAATGCAAAAATAACACTAGTTTTGGCCTAATTTGATAAATTTTCGGCTTGTTTTTAACTAAATTTTCCAAAATAGTTCTGTTTCTGACTAAAAACATACTAAAACGTTCAGAAATGGAGAAAATGATGTACTTTTTGACCCATTTTTAGCAATTTTTTTTACTTTGTTGAGTGATATATTTATCATTTAGAAAAACAAAACTATCTTTCGTATTTTTGTTGTTTTGTTTGAGAAAATGCCCAAAAGAATACAAAAAAAAGGGTCATTATTTTTGACTGAATTTACTATATCAATAATTAAAAAAGGTAATTTTACTAACATTTGGACGAATACTCAATTTATAAAAATTATTTCAAAATACATTAATTTTCTGCTAGAACTACAGTGACGTTTCTACAAAATGGCGTAGTACCAAATGTTTACTAGGCACCCGAAAATACCCAACATTACAAACATTTCAACACAATTTCGCACTGAACCACGAAATAAGTAATTTATTCGAACAATTATTACAACAACGGGATTCACAAAACAAAAATATGTTGTAACAGTTTCATTGTGTTCAAGCATGTTTTGACAATATCCTGCAAAATCTGGTTCAAAAACGAACTAAATAGAGCGAAATACACTAAAATGATACCAAATTCAATCCAATTTGATAATTTTCAGTCAGTTTTAGCAATGCATTCAGCATTGAATGCTAAAACACTCCAAAAATGCAAAAATAGTTTTGGCCTAATTTAATAAATTTTCGGTTTGTTTTTAACGAAATTTTGCAAAATAGTTCTGTTTCTGGCTAAACACATACGCTCAAAAATGGATAAAATAATGTACTTTTTGACCCATTTTAACAATTTTTTTACCTTATTGAGTGAAATATCATTTAGAAAAACAAAACTATCTCTCGATTTTTCAACTTGTTTTTGAGAAAATTTAGTAATTGCGTTTCTGTGTGGCTAAAAAAACGTGCAAAAAAATACAAAAAAATAGTGTCATCATTTTTGACTGAATTTACTATATCAATAATTAAAAAATCAAATTAAACATTTGGGGAATTGCTCGATTTATAAGAATTATTATAAAATACATTAATTTTCTGCTGTAACTACTGTCAGGTTTCTAAAAAAATCATCAAAAATTAGAGTTTTTACAAACGTTTTCACCAAATCATAGTACCTATAAAAATCACCAGATCAAAGTTTAGATCAATGTTTCATTATATTTTTCCAAAAAACGCAACTAATCAACAATATAGTGTAGAAAGTTTCGTCCCACTTTTAATTTTAAATACATGTTTCTTTATAAAAAAAAAATTATATACAGTGTGTCTCATTCTTGCAGTAAAAAG